GGGCTAAGGAAGAAATACCTTAGCCTACCTAAAAGGATGCCTTGCTACAGTTGAATAAATATAGAACTAATATGTTGAATAAGTATGTGGACTTCTACGAATACCAACCAAAGCCATAAAGTTCAATATTTAACAATCATGCAGATGAACGAAAACTAGCAAGTTGCTACATATATATAAACACGTACAAATCGCATTACCGTTATCGGTCCAGGTTGTCAACTTATTGTCATAACGGATAATGTCTGTGGTAATAGCACCCAAATGCGTTGGAAATATTCCATCTATCAAACACAATCCGAACACCGATGTCAGTCTAGTCAGCCGTTATGGAAAATCATAAAAAATCAATCAAATAAGGGTACGAAGCCGAGTGCTTACACCCACAACATCTCAGCTTCTACTGTCTTTCACTGTCTATAGTCAGTTGTGGGAAGGCAGTTACCCTTAAATTTCTTGAAGTAGAAATGGATTGAAATGAAATCACCCTAATATTTCTCCCTCCCCTCTCTCTCTCCCTTGCCCTCCCCCCTCTCTCTCTATATATATATATATAATGGAGAGAAATATATTTTTGTCCCTAATCATAATATTAAAGAGTGTCCACGTGAATTATCCTAACCCGATATTCGCCAACTCAACAATCTAGTGGTTAGCATGCCGGGCTGTGTATCGGAAGGTCCAAGATTGAACACGCGATATGCTGCTGAACATGCTCGGCACTTTCATCTGTGGGGGTGTTCGGTTAGGAGTTGATGCGTAGGCGGCGGGTTCTCATGACTGGTTACCTTTCCTGTCCTAAATTAGGGACGGGTATGGTTAAACCTTAAGATTTCTAACCTGGCTTTTTAGCCCATGTGTCGCGAAAAGTGCCTTTCAGGTTAAAAATACTCAAATATCGCCAGTTCAAGCTCTTCGGGCAAGAATAAATTTAAAAGTTAAACTGTTTTTTTTAGTACGGATATAACAACGCCATGTTTTGAAAGTGACAACCATGAGTGAAATGTTAAAACACAGCGAGCGAGTCTTTTATTAGCAACTAACGAAGAAGGATGTGATATTTCAATAACATTGTAGTCGATGGTCTCCAGCATTAATCACTGTAATCAATAAAACACAAAATACGTTTTACTGATATAAATCTAACCTGCTGGTAAGCATCTGTTATGTTTTATTCGTCTAAGAGATTCTTGGTTGAATATCGTTTCACATCTTACCATTCTATCTAATAATATTTTAAAACATCCCATAATAGTATAGATAAAATTCTTCCTTCACTTTACAAATTGAAAAAGAATACATTTTGATTACAAATGCCTTTGTTTTTCTCTTCAGACCATATCAAACAGTTTATACATAAAAAAATAATCTGATGTTCCCCATTGAATCAAGCGAAGAACAACAACGATATTTCGTACTTGATGTTTTCTACCTGAACATGCGACACATGGAAAAAATGACCAAAGTCAGAAAACATAATTTCAAACCACTGGCCAGAGGGAGAGCAATCCATCAGTAT